TGATACAAATAAAAGGTTCCAAAGTCACAAACTTAATAAACACTTCTGTTCGGTCAACAGCTATTCCTGAATATTTTCACAGCACACAGTTATATATTAATTAACATCCTACTCATTCATAAATGAAGTTGAAATTTTTTTTAGAATATTCAAAACTTAGTTTGCCACTCTTATTATCTAGCATTATCCACTAACAATCCTTAAATTCACAGTAAGAAATGTTGCTCTCTGATTGTGGCTGTATCACAATGCTACTACACTGTTATTTATTTCCTGGTTGAGCACAAAATACTAAACTGGTATTTTTACTCTCCAGCTCCCAGCATTTTAGGTGGGTGGGGCTTTTCCTTATTTGATATGTAATGCTTTATCCTTACAGAATTCGATAAAGCATGTTTAAAACTGTTTTACTAAGAAGAGTATTTGCAAATTTATCATAATAAATCTCTAGAATTTACATATACATTCAAACTTCAGAAAGGCTTTAGATTCATTTATATAAAAGAACTGTTAATCTTTAAGTTAGTGCTTTAATTTTCTAGTACTTAATAGTTGTTGGAACATAGTGTCTAAAATTGATTCCAGTCCAGTTTAGCTTTCAAAGGTACTTCTAAAATTGTACTTAAATCAATATAAGTAATGCCAATCTTTCCTAATATGCCAAATTATTGATTTTGTGTAAAGATTTACCTGATAGTGCATAAAATGTAGGTTAGTTGTAAAGCATGAAGACAGTCTCATTTCAATCTGATTTACATTATTTAATTTCCATAAAAAATTACTTCTCTATTCAACAGATCAAGGTCTGAAAAATTAATCCTATTTGTATGTCTAATGCTTATACAATTCCTGGCATATACAAAACATTTGATAAATGTTAGTTGAGCCAAATTATTTCAAATTCTAAATGTGTAAAAATCAATAAAGTTTCATTGACTGAAAGTCTTTTTTGAATTTACACTTTATCTAAGATTGCAAGTTTTAAAAACCCACCAAATTGAGAAGCCATTAAATTTTTCATGGAGAAATCCCCAACTGTGTATTACAAATATATTTACCATATCATATCTCTCTTACTAAATGTCCATTAAGTAATGTTCTGGGATTTTATATGAAGACTTTGATGAATCAATGACTATTAGGATGGCAGTGGCAAAGTGACCTTGATAAATGATTGTCTCAGATGCTCAACCAATAAATTCCTGGGCATTAGAATACAACAGGATTTATGAAAGTAACTTGAATTAGGAAAAAAAGCATGATTTGTCTCATTTTCTCTCTTAGAAATTGCACAGATTTGCTCTTTTTTTTTAGAATAGTGAAACATCTAGGACACAGCTAAGACTCTGAATTGACTCAAGGAGAAGAAATTTAAGGTAGACAAGAAGACAAAATGGAATTTTTTGTGTTTTAGTGTTGAGATAAAAGAAAATTTCAACTTGCACCTTGTTAAATTAACCTGGTGCCATCATGAAAATTTTAAATGATGGGAAATTTTTAAGTAGGATACTTTTTAATTGGGGTACTTTGAATATAGTTCAGTAAGAAAGCAGTTGGCTAACATGCACAAACTGCTGGGTTCAATTCCCAGCACCAAAACCAATCTAGAGATAGAAGCAGAAAAAAGTTAAAAGACAGTGGATTCACAGAAGAGACTGGCCAAGGAGATAAACTTTAGAATTTAGGAAAGGGATGTGACAGTTGTGCAAAAACCCTTTGTTAGCAATACAGTATGACTGTCTTCTCCCTGTCCTTTTCTGTGTATAAAAGAATATTTACTAAAAATATAACTATTATACAACATAGATACTGACTGACTTAATTTCTATCATCACTCATCAGTGACACTGAGGCAAATTATATTGTCCCCTATCAAATGTTTAACATTATTAAATACTATTTAGATTTAAAATATTCATTTCTACACTTTGCAAAAGTACAAGTCTTTTAAAATCAGGAAATTGTAACTTCTTTGTGTTTTGAAAAGGCAAACATATAATTTTGTTTCTAATATGCTAAAATAAAAATACTTTAAGTTATTAAAAACTACGTGAACATATGTCAATACATACTGTTAATAGTAAAATAGGTATAATAATTTGATCAGATTATATTCTTTATTTTTGCCTTCTTGTAATAAATCTCAATGATTGATGTTGGTGATTAAGATTACAAAGAAAGCAGAATTGTTGCCCATAATTTTATTATTTTTAATTCTTGCACAGTATTTCAAGTCAGTTTTGCTGTGGGTCATGGCAAGAATAAATTTTAATGCAAAGTTAACACTAAGCAAGTAAGGTATACACGAAGGTAATAATGGTTGATTTCAAGTATTTCTGCCAACCATAAAGATAAGCATGTTGCAATTAATCTGTAAGTAGTTACTGAGTATCAATTAGTGCAGGGCTTTATAGGAGGAAGATGTGTACAACACACTGAGGCCCTTACAATATCAGAGTGTTGCTCAAAATTGTTTTATACAATTCCCTTTATGACATAAAAGTATTTGTAAAGAACATTTGGGCAAGAAAAACTGTGGAGCATTATATTTTGCAATTTTACAAAAGCAATCTTCTTAAAACAAAAGGATGGCACTAGGCTGAGACAATTTATAAAGATAGCATGGTTCTGCTACCATTTTTTTCATTGTAGTTGAAGTCTTGTTCCCACAATGGCTTATTGTGCATATTACAGTCTTCAGGGTCTTCAAAATTAAAGTGACAGAAATTTTAACTTGAGAATGGAACATGCTTCCTTACTTCTAATATAATATGCCTTTACACATTTTTCTAATAATTCTAGTCATTTTGACAATAGAAAAATCACCAAGACAATGCAATGATTTTACAAAGAGAAAGAATGACAGTTTCCCGTCTACTTTTCAAAAATGTTTTATAATATGATTTGAGATTGGCTTTATTGAATAGGCTAAAAGGGGAATCAATCTGTACAAAATGACACTCTCTATAATAAAGAACACCTACACTTCTGAACAATGCACCCATTCCCACACAGTCATGATGTGATTATCATTACCATGAGAATCTTTTTCCAGAATAATTTTCTTACAGGGAAAATATAGCTTTGTTTAAAGTAAACTGACAATGTCAGTAAAACAAGCAATAAAATATAAAAGGTTAAGGGTTTTGTTTTTATTCACACTTGTACAACTCTAGAAAAGTCTCTATTATTTCTCTCCTTCACTCATGAACCTGGAGTTCTTCCTATGAGGGTTCATTTATCCAACAAATTATTGTGTCCCTACTGTGCCCCGCAAGTTGGTGGTGTTAGGTGCTGATTTCACTGGTAGCCAAAGCACTGGTAGGACTGTCCATTGACAGTATAGACAGATTCTGACAATTAGTCCCACAAATAAATATATAATTGCATGTCATAATGAGGAACAATCCTGAGTTCCAAAAGGCAAAAACAGCACAAACTAACTTAGGTTGGAATTCCTTAGTGTAAGCTGGGTCCTGAAGGATGACAATTCGCCAGATGACGAGTTAAGAGAACATCCCAGATGGTATGGTTTAAAGAAAGATCCTGCAGAATGCATTCCCAAATCCAAACAAAGCAGTGGATGCAGGTGGAAACACAGCACAGAGCAGACGGTCACCTGCCCCTGCCGAGGGGGGAGCAGCAGGCAAAGGTCAGGCCTGCCGGACAGGTGAGGGGATTCTGACTGTCTGCCTAGAGTAGTGGGAAGCTACTGAGGGATGTGAAGAAGAGGAGTGATCCAGTGGTATCTGCATTTAGAAAGATGGTGCTTTTCTACTGAAGAATTGACTGGGAGAGGTTCTCAGTACCAAAATTCTCCAGCTGATTTTCAATCTTCCAGGGAATGACTTCATCCTGTGCTACCCTTTCCCTTCACATCCAGTGCCCAGCCACACGGTAGGTGCACACGCCCTTCTCAGACTTGCTTGTCCACCTCAGCATGTGGCTGCGCCTTTGTCTATCCCCACCTTGGTCCCCATTTCCACTCTCTAACCCCTGACTGGCTTATGGTTTAAAAAGTACAATGTGCTAAAAGGAAGTCCAGCTGACTCAAAGGCTGCCTCAGCTATGAAGGCTTTTTGCTGTATCTCAAATCCTATGTCACTCAATGTAAAAGTGCTGAGCAACAACAAAAAGAAGAGTCCTGACGAGGAACTCATTTTGGCCTTAAATGCTGAGACCCAGAATTATTTGTCTGTTGCAATCACTCAACATACAGATCCCAACCCCAATCTGCACATATACGCTCAAGTCTGGGGCTAAACACCACTGCTGAAGACCATTTTTCTTTTATATTTTGAAATGCATAAGTTAAAAGACCATTTCAAATACATTTTTATGGTACCAGTATAAAATCTGATTTCTACACATATTGACAAATACAGCAATCAGCTGCTTTTTCTATTTCTATGATTAACGATTTACCTCCAGTTGTAGGGAAGAATCTGGGTAGCCCCATTTAAGAAAAAGACCTAAATCAGATCCCAGAAAGCTAAACAATACCTATTTCTTAACTTACATTTTAGCCTGAAGTGGCTCTGAAACTTGAGGGATTTAGATACTCCTTAGGGTCTACCTGCTTCCAAAAGAACCTGAGGCTTCTTTTAAGAATTTTCAGTGCCTAGCATATGAAAAGTGCTTAAAGCTAGACTCTTCCCTAAGATTCTCTGCAGAGAGGAAAAACTGGCTGTATCTGAATCAGAACTCATGATTCTATCAGTCTCGCCACTTCTATGGACAGACCATAATCAGTTACATACTTAAAGGACGATTCTCAAAGATCACTTCGAAAGAGTCTAATAAAATATGTAAAAAAAATAGGATTTTTATGACTTTGGTAATATTTGACAGGTATATTACCTTAAAAATTTTACTAAAATCATTTCATGAAGAAAATATAACCCGTATTAGTTCCTCTATGCTAGTTTTGATGAATGGAACTCATAAAATGAGTCCGCATTCTACCCTGAAGCCTCTGAAGGCATCCTCTTCTTACCCACCTTGATCTCTTTCATGCCATGTTCGACTTCCAGCAGCTGGTGAATTTGGAGAGGGGTAAAAGTCTCCTGTAGGACTTGGTTCCATATTTTCGTCTATGGATATAGTTTTGGGTCTTTTGCTGTTAAAATATGACAATTATGTACAGATACATATTAATAGAATTTCTAAGATATGTAGCATTTAAAAGTAAATGACTTGAGATTCTTAGTGTGGAAATTTCCATAAACATCAGTAAACAAATAATCTTTAAAAGTGGGTGAATATCTAAGACATCAACAAGAATAACACACATTTTTATTTTGTGTACCATATATTATATTATCATATACCTGTACCCACAATTACAATGTTCATTGTATTTACATTTTCAACTTTATCCAGAGAAATTTCATTTGCAGTAAACTCAGTATGGGCTGTCTGTTAACATTAAAATTGTGTGGACTGCACTTGAGTTTTATTATGATTGCCAATAATGTTCATTTGCATAGCATTTGCCATGACAAAGTAATTTTTTCATTTTGATTCAGAGATGAAATAATGGAAGAGAGTAGAATAAGAGCTTTGAAAGTCTCAAATTTCGAGTAAGCCATATATTAATTCTTAATAGTAAGTTACTTGACCTTTCTAACCTCAGTTTAATCATCTGTAAAATGGAAATAATAAAAACACACTTCAAAAGGGGATGATTAAAGAGATTAAATGAGTTATTAGGTGTAAAACTCTTGGTTAAGTGGCTGGCATTTAGGAGATACTTATTAATATTAATTACTAGTGTTAACCTACAACTAATAACAATAATAAATGTTATAGTACTGTATAGTTATAATAAATGTATAGTTACTGATAAAAAACTATTTCATGCATTCTTCTGTACCTTTTCCTAAAAAGGTAAGGTTTAAGATTCTTTATTCTTAAGGTAAATCATGAAAATATTAGCAAATTTGAACTACATGGTATACTTTTAGAATGATATTTTCTAATGAAGAAAACATGATTCTTACTAATTAGTAAAAGAAGTAAATATGTAGAGCAAAGATTAAAGAGTATGATATGGACAATATTGCTTGATATACTGTTTGTATAGCTTCTCTCTAATAGCCCATTAATTATGATTATGAAAATGAATTATTCTTAGCCTAAAAATGTATTTGTATATTTACTAGTAAGAACTAAAAAGCATGAACAATATTGTTTAGATCTAAAACGTCCCCCTCAGAGTCTCATGTGTTGGAAAGTGCTTGGATTAAGGCAGCCTGTACATGCACCTGTGGATTCATCTATTGATGAGTTCAGGAAATGAATGTGCTATGCGGAAGTGAAGATTTGTTGGAGGTGGGCCACTGGAAGCGCATTCTGGAAGAGTGTATTCCTGGTCCCAGCTCACTTGCTCGCTGTCTGTCTCTGGCTCTCTCTCTCTCTGTCTCTCTCTCGCTCTCTTGTTCTCTGGTTCCTGCCTGCCACGATGTAAGCATGCTTTCTCATCCAGACCTTTCCACCATGCTTTTTCTCTTTTGGAGCAAACAACCACCCACCAGACCCAATAAAATTGTGAGCCTAAATAAATCTTTCCTTATTTAAGTGTCTAGGACTATGAAAATGAATTATTTCTCAAAATATTCATCTTTGTAGCAGATAAAAACTAAAAAACATACTTTTTGCATTAACTTTGTGCAATGTTTATAAATGTAATGTCACAGGATTTCAGAAGTCAAGTGTACAAACTACCCTCCTTTTTTAATAAATGAGGGGATAAATCTGGAGGAATTCAGTGAACTACATAGAGCAAGTAAATAGAAGCAGTGAGACACAAAGGCTCCTTCTGCCACATGACATCCCCAAACCTTTCAGGCCTGTGTGTGTCTTAATCTATTTGTAAACACATGCATTAATATTTGGGGGCATTCTATAACTCCCAAGACATACTACCACAAAAGGTGGTAATTTCCATCCATGCTAAACCATTGTAAGATTGAATATTTCTTTTACTTTCTTGTTAAGCAGCCAACGTTAGAATTAAAAATTTTTAAACTTTTATTGTTATTTGATTCTTCCATCTGAGAGCCAGTAGAACTATCTGTGAGTCAGTAGAATGGAAAAGAACTTATTTTCAAGAGATTAATAGAGATGTTTTTAAACCTTGTTTATTCGGAAGGACACAGTATTTGACACCAAGTGACCATGAGGAAAGATCTACGCTGACAACATACTGACCCAGCAGACAAAATAAAAAAACGTTATTTACAATTTAAATTTACAGAAACTACTTTTAAGGCCTTACATGCCAGAGATAATTTTAGAAAATAAAGTAAATTGTCTTGATACACAATCAACTGTATGAAAAAAGTTTGTTCATAAATGACATAAAGTTGACCTTAATTTGTAAACATACATGCATAATACAATACCTAATTCAAATGTAATTGCTTTCATTATTGGCATACCTATTTTCATAGTTACTTTCATCTTACCAAAAAAAAGTTTTAAGTCGTTTGAGCAATAATTACATCTAATTTGCAAATATCAAAATAATATATACCAGAAAAGATGAAGCGTACAGACTATCAGCAGAAACTTGATTTCCCCTTCCTCTTTATCAGACTGCCTCCCTGTCAAACTGCAGGTATACTGATCTACTTATCTAAATACAGGAGGGGAAGCGGAGTAGCTCCCTCCTTCATTTACCTGCTTGGGGGAGAAGACAGTGACCTCTGAAGATTAACCCCGGAGTTCATGTCATGGTAGTATGGTTGGCTCGGGATTTCTCCAATAGGAAAATTGACTCCAGTTCCCTGGGTTATGGGTGCTGAGGAATAAAATGAAGAGAACATTGAGACTGACATTTACACTTTGGTCTCTATTCAGATGTAAGTATTCAGTATTTTCCATGTCCCCGGACAAAGAAGAGAACGCTCTTTCTCTCAAGCATCTACTGTCCATCTTAAATCTGTGGGTAGACTTAAAAATTTGGGAGGCTTAAGGTATTCAGACTCTGATCACTCATTAACACTTACCTCAACCCCACTCCCCTTCACTCACTTTGTATATTACTGTCACTTTGTATATTACTGTCACTACATCTGTCCCTTCACTGTCTCCAGACGCCTGGGGTAGGGTGAAGACAACGTGATTCCTATCACTCAGGCCAAACAAGTTGTTTTGTATTAAACCAAATTGCTAAATAAATAAATATAGAACCATTTCACAAATACAAACCAAAGATTATTGTTCTGTAACATTAATATTACAATGCATTAAGTCAGATATTTACAATTATTCAATATAATTATTGGATTAGGACAGCTTTACAAGTAAAATTTACAAAGATGAAATAAATGCCAAGTTTTCCAAACTATCTAGTCAAGTTTTATGTATGAATGCTATGACTTTATTTAATAGCTACACTTTTGCTTATTCTTAAAAATTTTTATATCACATTTAAAACACATTCATGGGATTTTATATTTTAAAAATTTAGTTTATAAATCAAGAATTATTTTGAAATTGCCAATACATTATGAACTAAGATTTTTATATGAGTATTTTTTGTACAATGATTGATCGAACTGAATTTTTAAAATTTATTTTTGGACATCTTGAATAAGTGAGAGGTAGTATGTTATGTTATAATAAGCAGAATATTGGGAAATAGTCTTTTGGTCCAGTCTACTCTGATATTTGCCTCAGTTTCCTAAACTGTAAAAAGGGTAATAATAACAACATATCACATACAATTATTTTGATAATGAAGTAAAGTAAAACTCAGCATCATGCCTAGTGTGTATAACGTGCTCAATAAATCACAGTTCCCTTTTTTCTTTCCTTTCTCCCTCCAATTTCTTCTATGTAGGTTTGTTAGCAGAGACAGAACAATTCAGAAAATGTTAAAAATAAATAAATTAACATAAGTGAACTTGCTTTCTGAATACTGGTTCACTCAAAAATTAGATCCACCTTTGTCAAATATTTCAATGGATAACAACTAATCTCAATACTGTTACCATTAATAAACATATTGGGCAGCAAGTTGAGTAAATAAAAACTTGCTAAAAACATATAAATATGAGGATAAGTCAGTTATAATAAAGGTGCCCAAATTAATAACATGCTTCTGGCTTTTCAGGGAAAAAGAATCCAGTGCAGGCTTGAATGGTCAAGAAATCGACAGAGACCTGCTATCGGCCCTGGACTTTGGAGAATGAGGGAAGATTCTCCCAAGTAGGGTTACAGGAGGAACACCGTCAAGGACAGAGACAAAATGCAAAGTGGAGAGCGGGCAGGTTGGTATCACAGTATAGTGTTTAGGGCCAGCTTCTATTTTTTCTCCTTTGGGCTCTCAGAAACTACTGGGTGAGTGACTAAGGGCTTGGCCACAGACTTCACTCTAAGGACGCATGGTCCTCTTAGCTACCTCCCTTCCTAATTTCTTCCAATAAAACAGAAAATTTCAACAGGACCATAGATTTTCAAGAAAACTTTAACTAGAATTCTTAATAAATGTTATAAATGCATATACTATCACCTGAGTTGAATTTTATTATCAGGCAGGCCATGATTGACTTAAAAATACTTTCAGGGGAGAATGATTATGAGATACTTTACTGAAGAGAAGTAAACAAGGAATATTCAATGAATATCTCTTTTTCTCTACTAATAATTAAATAAGCCACCACATGTACAATAAATCTCAGCTCCAAACTTTGGGAACATTTACCTTCCATTAAATTGTTCATTCTACATAACTTCCTTTTGCACAGAAAAATATTTATATGCAATGTGTAGCTATGCCTTATAGTTTGAATTATTTGGACAGCTAAGATGTAGATACATTTGTTGTGGCCTGAGGTACACCAGAGGTTAAAAAAATGTGAGGTAAGAAATTCCACAGTAATCACGTGCTTCAAAACTTATTAGATCACGTTCCATTGAAATCAGAGCATGTGTTAGACATAGGCATTTGAGGAGCTCAGAGACTGAATAATCTAAACTTCTCACTACAGTAATAGATACAAGTTAGAGACCTGAGTTACTAGCAGGAAGCTTAACAGGTTGTATCCTTGGGAAACTATTTGCAAATTCATTAAGAATATTTAGGCAAAGATTTATAATTTCTATTAGATATATATGGCTCAACAGTGAACACAGATTTCTTCTCTCTCTCCCTCCCTCTCTCTCCCTGCCCCCTTCCGCCCTCTCTCTGTGGCACTGGGGATCAAATTCTCAACCTCAAGCTTGCCAGGCAGGCACTTATGTCACTGAGCTAAATCCCCAGCCCTGGATTTCTTGGCAACAAAGATGCTGGGTGTCATTTAGAATAAAGTGGTAATGTACAAAATATTCAGGAATGTTGCTTTCCTTTTTAGATTTTGTTCCAGAAAGATCATTCCGGGGTATCAAAAGATCAATAAAAATAATTTCTACACATGGACACTATAACAGTTTAGTCTGCATCCTGACAATAAATGGGAGATTACAGAAAGAAAAGCATATTGGTAAGCATGGCCAAAACACTAAAACTGCAAAAATATTTTTTTAGCAGGAAGGAGAGCATGTGAGAAGAGCAAGGATTGGTTTGGTTTTCCTGTTTAAAGCCTCTGGAAGAACACAGCAAATGCAGAGATCACGTTAGCACCTCTCCCAGAACTACAGGGAAGCAAGGCTGAAAGCTGCAAATCACGTTTAAGAGGCTGCCAATATCCTCTCAGAAGTGTAGCACCACAGAACCTTAGATTCTGTGGGTTAGAGGGCAGCCCTTAATCTCCCTTATTGTTCTCCTCCTTCCAAAAGCTGATCCTAAATCAACTTTAAAGATGGAGATAATATCATTCAACAGAGAGATCACCATCCTAAAGCTGAATAGCTTCATTAGTGAAAGTCAACACACACATTAGAGGTCAGATGATAGTAAAACTCTGGAGGACAGCACCATTAACACACTGTGAACCCTCAAGAAGGCAGAATTTGTGATAAGGAGCATAGGGTTGTGCTAACGTTGATGTTGACTTAGCAAACTCTTATTTCATAAACAATGGAGTTCAATTGTGTAAATAAGATTATAATGTGATTATATTAAAACACTTAGGAGAATAACTTCTCAAGCATTTCAGAGACACCTATTTACATGTGGAAGAGAAAATAAATGTTTGCTGAATAAATTAACTAAGGAATGAATATGGATAATTAATGTACTAATTACAAATCACTAATGTTTATTATAACAAATAACCTAAAAATCTCTAATAAATGATGGTATGAATTAGAAATGAATGAATGAATGAAGAATGTTAAATTTACCTTGGTTCTGCACTGTTATAGAAAGGTATTTTTAGTCTATTTTTTATGTTTGAAATTCAGATTTTTTAAAATAGCACTCAGGGATTTTGAAGGTTCCAAAGTGGTTCTCCTTTGACAGCACTTAGCATAATGTTACCCATAATGAGGCACTAATAAATATTTCCTGACAGATGACTCTACTGCCCTTCTCATAAGGATGAAAATACATTATGGACTGTAGAAAGGTACAAATTTAAGCAAATAATTGTATATGCCTTGTAACTTTAGCAGCATAGGCTTTTTTACTGAATAACAATACGAAAGCACATATGCAAATCTTCAATTTTTCTCTTTCTTTTTGCTGGAATGCAGTAGTAAATAAGCCAGGCTTATCCCTTTCTAAGTCAAAATTAAGAACTTTCAAATGCTGGAAGCCTTCATATATTGTAAGTCTGGACATACACATAAGGCAGCCTTAGACAATGAAACAGACTATGGTAATCCTCTTGCCTGGCAAACACATATCCTGGAGCTGCTCGGATACACACTTCTTATTTTTATCTCCTGCACCATCCCCAAGAAATGCACCCATGACAGCAGTCTTCTGGTCACACACTTAATCTACTCAAGAATTTTTCCAGAAAACATAATACTCATGAGTGCGTCTCTGATCGTGAAAAACATGCTGTTTGTTCTGTCCATTTTAGAAATCTGAGCTATTTGAGAAATTGCAGTGGAAAAGACCTAGTAACCTACTAGCTTAAAGATTCCTTTTTGGAAAAGGACTCTGAAGTATTAACTCAATCAGTCTCTCTCTGTCTCTGTCTCTGTCTCTGTCTCTGTCTCTGTCTCTGTCTCTGTCTCTGTCTCTCTCTCTCTCTCTCTCTCTCTCTCTCTGATTGTTGTTGGAATGCTTGTTAAGGATCTCTGAATTTGACCCAAATGAGAAATCCAACTTAAACAAAGGTCAGAAATATCACCTCATCAGCTGAATAACATCATTCTGAATTGTGACACTTTGCTAGAATATCAAGTTCAACCATTTTATTCAGTGTTATTTGAATAATCTAAATCAGAGAAGGGAGCAGAAGAAAAAAGTCACTTTCTTTAACATAATCAATGCATTAAGATCTGCATCGAAGACAGATTTGCACACACTAGTAATACATTAAGGGTTGATCAACGAAATATCTCCCTTGCTTAGGTAGCAAGCCAGGTGAGCTTACCCTAGAAAAATCTGACCCAGCTTGCCAAGAATGGTATCTCAGGTAAGGTAGCCAGTTAAAACAATTGCACATTGTTTTGGATAACAATGCTTTCTATCTATATCCAACTACAATCTGTAAAGTTAATTTCTGCATCCCTTTACACTCTGCATGTTAGTGTGTATATCCTGTACATCTCCAAACCCCCACCAAAATGTTAGTAAAATGAAAAAGCACTTATCTACAGGAAACTTATGTGGGTTATCATAACAACACAGAGTACATTTAATTAATCACACTTCCTTTGATATAAATGACCACCTATGGTCACAGAGAGAACTGAATTAAATGAATTTTAGTAACATGGCAAGAAGAACAACCTAAAAATTAGTTTTGTACAGCAGAAAGTTTTGATGATTTCAATGTAAATATTTTAGAAAATTAGATATAATATAGTCAGGTATGGTTTTATTAAATGATTGAGGATTTACTATAGGGTATGTGCTGACGAACTGAGAACTGATTGAGGATTTTAAAGCTCAAATTTTCCTAACATACAGTCATTCTTTTTATTGTATTTAAAGCTAACATATAAAATATTTTATATTATATTATACACTTCAATAATAAGAAGGCAATTTACTTACTTCTGGATACCCTCACAAGTTCTGATACGTTGAAGACTCCAGACTTTACAAAACTATCCTCGAGGTATCCTGAAAATAAACATCGGGGGGTAAAAGATCAACATAAGGAGGAAAACACTTTAGAAAATTCATTACATGCTAGAATTTGTTCATTTTTAGACCAAAAGTTAGATCAAAAACTAAGAATACTTACAACAAGGGCAAGTAAAAGCAAAACTTTTGTGACTGCTAGCCTTGTTTAAACAAAAAGTAAAATATTTAGATGCTAAGTAAACTGCTATGAATTTTTTTCTAAATATACAAAGCAGTTGGGGTGGTTTTATGTGCCGTGCCCCACGCCTAGTGAATGAAGGTTTGGGATTTTGGACTCCGTAGCACCTGGTAGGCTAAATGTCTATCCATTAAAAAAAAAAAAAAAAAGTGGAAGGGGGAGAAAAAGGAAAACCACAACCACAATTAGCACTTTGTTGGAAATACTTCAAAGATTTCTTGAAACCACTGTTCTCTCACAAATCCTTCCCTGATTAAAGAAAACTGAGCTGCTGTTACTTGCACTCCCACCCTTGTTCCAGGGTCACCAGTAACACAAAGGCAGAACTGAGTGCTTCTTTACACCAAGCTAATCCTGCACACCCACCTTTCTCGAACAATTTCAGTACTTTTCCTTCTACAACTTCCTGCACCCCTTTATTTCAAGAACTAAACATTTTATGTAGCAAGTGACAGTGCAAGCCACATGACCCTTAGGTGACATCTAGGCACCGGATCCACCGTGACTGTGAACCATACTTCAGGAGCCTGGAGAGCGTCACACTAAAGATGAGGACTCCCACAGACAGCACTAGCTCTCTGCTCTTAGTGATGTCAAGGGGCTGCACTGAGCGGGGGAGGGCCAGAATACCTCGGAAGATGGAATGTGACTTCCTTGCTGCTGGCCCAGGGAGTGAGTTAGAATTGTCTGATGATTCTCAGAATTAAAATGCTTTGGGGGGGGGGGGGTTGTGTGGCTAGACTGAAAGAACTGGCAACTGGATTGATTTTATGGGGAGGTTTTAGGGCTGCTGGAGGTATCAAATTCAGCACAGGTTGGTGACGTGTGGATGACCTGGCAAGACAGAGCACTCAGGTCAGGATCCCAGCTTCAATTTACTAGAACCTGGCCATGTGACTGGGACCTTTTGGTGTTTCATATCCCTCATCCCTAAATTAATGCTCCATAGTCCTCACCCCCACCTTATAGCATTTTTGCAACTGCTGAGATTAAAAAAAAAAAAAAAAAAAACCCACGGGAGGCACTAGTTAAAGGTGATGAATAAGCCTAGCCAGCAGAGCAGTTATCAGCCATACACTAGATCCCACACACGAAACTTCAAACATTCCTAGGTTACCTGTAAGGCTTTATTTAGAAAATTCACTAGAACAAAAATTGTCACATTGCTTTTTAACCAAACACAGCATGAAAAGAAAGAAAATCACTGAAGTGGCATATATGCATCTCAGCTATCAACACGGAGATGTCTGAACCGTTCATACCCACCCATCAGCCCCCAGAAACACAAAGCAAGAAAGCATAGCAAGGAACCGCAAGGTCTCTGTCAGCATATGCGAAGGCATTGCTCTGAAAACAAATTTTTAAAAAGAATAATAACAAAATGTCCTCACTTGATTCACTCCTATTTTAAGAAACTTTAGCAATTAGTTTTTCACTGGGATGAATTCACTTCAGTGACTGCTGAGAAAGTTCTGTGTAACTAAAATTGTACATTTGAAAAGTCGTGAACACAAAAAGGCTTGTTGACCATCTTTGCCTTATTTGAGCAAAGTGATGTTTTTAATCTTCTAGACCACTGTAGGTTATCGATGTATATAAAGATTTTTGTTTTTGTTGGCTTTAAAGCATAGCTGATTACACTTTATACATAGTAAACTAAGTAAAGCAAATATATAGAAAAGCAAATATACAGCAAATAGAAAACCTTGAGCTCATATATTTAATGAGACATCAACTGTACTCCGTTAATGCCTGCCGCTCTGCTCCCCTCAGCACTCTTTAATTAGATGCTCTTTCTACATACACTGCTCTCATCCGTCAGTGTCCAACTCAACCACCGTCAACTCCTCCACCCTCTTCCTCCGCCCTTCCTGGGGCACTTTCCTCTGTACTCCAATCACACTAGTTTGGATTTATTATACATTGTGATTTCCTAAGATACATTTTCAAATCTTGGGTTTCTTGTTGAATTATCAGCTCCTTTTTGTTTTTTTAGGTAAATGAGTTTTATCTATCTTCCTCAACAAGTTCACTGTCTACATATAAAGTAATTACTAAAAGAATACAGAACAAAATGTCAAAACTTAACTTGGTAAAATTAAGTCACAAACTAACAACTTAGTAATTTTATGACAATATAGATACGGATGGCTTAAGATGGACAGAAAACATAATACTGGTCATTGCTGTTTCTGTGAACTCATTTGCTAAGCAGGTTTTTTTAGGCTTCTGAGTAATGGGAAAGAATAATGATTAGGGATTATATTCTGACCCAGCCCTCTCCTTGTTTATGAATGGGTAATTCAGGCCTTCATACAAAATAACACCCAAAGGACCAGGACTACTTAAATAGTTGGAACTCAAAAAGACATGAAAATACATTCACAAATGAGTGAATAACTGTTAAATATTCAAATATATTTATATGGATTTTATCACATGTAATGTAAATCTCAATATGTAGATTAGTCTGGTTGGTTTTCTTCTTACACCAATGAGCAGTCAGTGAGAGGTCCATCTGCTTCTAAGTCACATGGATAAAGATGAAGTGGGCCTATTAGGAGCCAAATAATGAGGGAGGAATTAGCCACCTCAAAGCTGATTACCCCCAGGAGAAGAGTTAGGCAATCAGACAGACAACACACAATGACTACCCCACTGGAAAAGTATGCCAGTTCAGAATGTAGCAGGATGTTTCTCCACTCATCACCCCCAACTCTTCAAGTTCTAAGAATCTGAAATCTACCAGGAAACCGAAAGATAATGTTTACTAAATCTATACAAATATTTTACCCAGTGATTCCACAGAGCTTTGCTCCTGCATGGAGCACAAACAGGCTTCGGTGAAGGAAAGATTCCTAAACAATAGTGTTGATGGCTACTGACAACCAACCAAAGTGAGTGGTAGGTGTTGGAAGCGGATGGGAAGCAGGCAAGTGGGGAGTCGGGAGATCCTTCTAAAGCAGACGGCTGCCACATTCGTGCACCTTCGCTCCAAACACACAGATTTGTACTGGACAAATTTTATCCAAAAGAAGCGAAGTAAAGAAACAGATACTGGATAGTACAGGACCCGGCTAGCTAACACCACTTGCGCAAGCATACAGGAGACAATGCTTAAAGACTTGCACAGTACCTGGGAAGGGTCCTGCACTGAGTGAAGAGCCCTGCAACAGTATAAAGGCTTAGACTCAGCAAAAAGGGTTCTGCTGTTAAAATAAAACTTTCTGTAACCTCCTGGCTACTGAGTCTTTTAGAAACATGGGTTTCACATATTACACAGGCCACTATAAATCTCAAAGCTGGTACAATGGTCAAAGCAATTTTGAGATATTCATATAATAAATTTCCTTCATCTAACAAAAAAAAAAAAATGAGCATCTTTGATGTAGAGCTGCTGCCTAATGGTTACAAAGCAATATTACACTACAGTTTAAACCAGCGGGGGAAAAAAAAAGCTCTGTGTTTGTGTGATTCTGTATTTATAGTATATGTTATGCTTTTTTTTAAAAATATAAAATTGAATACGAAATAAAGAGCTCCACAAACTGAAAAGTCTCCATGCCAATATCAAATTATATTATTTTACTTTTTTTATTTTTCTCTAACAAAGGAAACAGTAAATCACTACTCAGAAGTTAATATAGTGTTTAACCCCCTTTTCAAACAATAACAGAGGGACACAATGGCATATCTAACTGTTAATATCTCAAATTATAATCAGCACCATTTGAATGTTAAACAACATTTACATAGAAAATCCAAAGGAAGACTGATAACACTCATTTTTATGGTGCACTGTGTTCTATTCTTGAAATTTTTTAAAAAAAAGAGCAACACGGAAAGCAGTTATTAAATTCATGAAAGCTGTCTTCAAGTATTTGGGGGACTGTTAATGCAGACTGTGGATTAGACTTGTTATGCAGTAGTTTCAGGAGCTGTTCTTTTGGCTCAATAAGCAAATTTGTCATCCAATGACAAAAGTCATAAAGAGGAACGTGAATCTGCAAAGGTAATCATGATAATAATCAACATATGCCCATCTACTGTGCTGAAACTTTCACATGCATGAATCCATTTAAGGCTCTCAACTATCCCATGAGACACGTTGAAGCATTATTGCCATAATGGATGGGAAAACTGCCCATACAGGTAAAAAGTCTCCAGGGACTCTGTGAACTACCATCGGATATAAGAATTCTCACTTGGGGTAGAAAAATTGGTAAAAGCACCTGAAAGTCCACGGCAACCATCAGATTCTACTATCTTACATAATTGTTTTCCTACGTTAGATTTTTTTGCATTGTTTATCTGGAGAAAGAGCAGGTAGGCATTGGCCATCTCAGAGGTGTTTCCCAGCTCTTCATTCCAATTGCTCTCATCCTTCAAGAGAGTGTAAAAGATGGCTTAACTCTGTTTATGGGTGCAAAGGGAAGAAATGACATTATTTCACACTAGCTATCTGCCAATCTTACAAATTCAGATAGCACAACTAACCTACTGGTGATTCTTCTGGTAAAGGTATTATGAGACATAGCTCTATCTTCAGTTTCTGAACAGCTCTGAACTGAAGTGGGAATATCAGGCATTGCAAAAATAATGATTTTTCTGCATATATGTTGAACGTCAGCTGACAGCCAATGTTAACATTGTATATTTAATTTAGAGTTGCTTGGCTTTCAACATTAAATATAAATCCTTCATTTGAGATTAAAGTGACATGAGAGTCAGAAATGTCTCCACTTACATAATCTCTATTAGAGCTGTAAGAACAGCTTTTTATATTTTATTTCAGCAT